ATCACATTGAACAAAGTCCATTTCAATAAATTTTGTACAGCCAAACCTGTGTGTAGGACCACCTCCGAAGAAAGACCACTTTGTGAATAAAGACCATTTGTTAACAAACCTTCATTGATTAAAATAGATCAATGTTACCTCCAAATAAAGACCACTTGTCAAGAGAGGCCATGTTCAGTCTCTCCCTTAGATGGCCTTTATTCCCAGGGTTTACTGTATGTACTTTTGATTTATCAAATATAAATGCCTCTTTATTTACAACTTGTGTGACAACTTTGTTAATTAAGATGGCAAAGAAAATATATTTTGACGAGTATAAAAATCATATTCCAGTCATTATGCAGTCATTAAGCATTTTCCCCACTAGTAACAAACAACTTCTTTACATCTATGAATTGAATCAGCAGTCAGTGAAGTTTAACTGTATTATTGGTGTCAAACATATTAATCCACTTCAGTCATGTAATGTATGGTTGCATAAGATTGTAAAACTTAAGTGGCACAACCTAAGTCTTAAGTATATGAGGAAGTTTAGACTCTTTACTAGTACTAAGCAAAGAAGAAATTAAACTTTGGACCGATATATATAATATATAAAGTGACTAATGTGTTCAGACACTGGTCATTCATACAGTGTCATATAGAGATTCTATCTTAACTTTCCTTTGTCCTCCCTCATTATGCGAGCAACTATATGACACCTCCTGTGACTCGTTGACACCTTGTTCAACCATATATTATTGCTGAGCAAAACAAAAATCTTTCATGCTCGCCCATATGGTCTCTTTTTGGTGGCGAGGGTAAATAAACCCAAACACACACACAAAAATCTTTCTTAACACTGTATCATTTCTGAGCTAAACAAAAGCCTATTTCAACCATGTATCACACCTAAGGTTAAATGAGAGAAAAAGAGAAAAACATATACATCCTCAAAAAACCTGTCCATAAGATCAACCTATGGAATATGATAAGTGGATCAATATGACAGGTGGTTTCTTAAAACAGGTAATCTTTCAGGAAAGTACAAAGATCAATGAAGTAAGAAGGTTGAAAAGCACAAGGTGTATAATAGCAGTGTGCATTAGAAAATATTATTGTATATTTTGGCAACATTAGATGGTTTACAAAATTTGACAATTAATGAGAGGTAGTTACTTCTTGTAAAAGTTTGTCCAGCTTTCATTTTGGACCAGTCTATTATCAATTTCAGAAATTTTAATTAGAGGATGAAAATTTTGGGAATCAGTCTACCAACAGGATATTATACTGGGGCAAAGTCTTTTTGATACTACATTGATTTTGCACTAATAGTTCCGCGTAGAAGGCTTGCCCTGTATATTACTTTTACGAATAAGCAAACAAAAAATTTCAATTATAATACTGTTAACAATAACCTTATTATTGAGGCTTAATTAAGATTTAAGGAATTCAAAAAAAGAAGCTCAAATATCTTAAATATTAAACATTTTGAGTTTCGGATAAAATCTACTATAATAAATTCATTTTATCATTTTTATTGTCCTAAAACTATCACTGTTTATTCATACATCACCACTTAGAAACCTGTCAGATTCTGTCAAAATTAATGTTAAATTTCATATACAAATCACAAAACTTGGTTTTATAAACCGACTGGACAAAAAATGTAAATAAACTTTTATCGGGGAAGTATAAAATGGGAATAATTTGTGTTCAACGAGCGGAAACAACGTAAGGCAGGTGCAAAGCCTGTCGGCGACATTAAAATATCTTCATGTGAAAATATTGCCATTATAAGATTGAAATACATCATGTACATAAAAAAAGTAAACTACGTAAATTAGTATAAAACATAGAAAACAAAGCTGGCTTGTAACAAAAAGGTCAAAAACGAAAATAATGACAATTGTTTGGCAAATTACGCACATTAGAATGCTATATACAATGTATAATGCCCTAACATACTAAGTCTAACAAAATTATACTATGAATGACTGGAGTATTTATTTTAAGGACAAAATGCATGCACACATACTGCAAGTTAAATGTAACTTTATCGAAAATGCAGCCTTTCTGTCCAACAAAAAAAAAATGTTTAATTTGTACCGGATGCAGTTTGAGTTTATATACTTCAGTTTTGCCTTTACATGTATTTTACATAATAGTTTTCACAAAACAAATGACGTAACTGTATTTGAAAGGGAGAAAAATATTTATATTTCATTCACTGAGATTTTGTTTCAGTTTAAAGCACATATTATAAAATTACAATACAATATTGAAAGCACATGTACAATATCTGAATTAAAGTTGAGGTTACCTTAAATTACCACTGTGTGATTGTTAGATCTACAGATGTTCACACTCTTAAATTGCAGTTATGGCAAGTAAAGGTGTTCACAGTTTTTTGTGCATGTTGGTCAATTAGTGAGACACACTTTTCACATTCTTGATTGGAAACTTATGACATTGTTCACTCTTAAAGTGCAGTTATGGCAAGTGAAGGTGTTCACAGTTTTCTGTGCACATTGGTCAATTAATGAGACACACTTGTCAAATTCTTGATTGGAAAACTTACATGATATATTGTTCACACTTGAAGTGCATTTATGTCAAAGGCGGATGTTAACAGTGTGCAGTGCACTAACATCAATTAACCAATATACTAATCTTGTTACCTTCCTGATGAAGGATACCAGCAGAAATAACTGTCAATACTTTATTATGCAAATACAAACATTCAATTTTTTATTTCACCCTTAAACACCAAACTTAACTTCTCACAATCCATGGATTTTCCCAGACGTGTGAAATACAGTAAATCGGACAAAGAAACTTCCCTCCAATAGTTGACAAACTTTCACAGCTTTTTCTGAAGGTAACGTCAACTGACATACAATTCGATCAGAAAATTGGCCCTCTTGTCCCATAATTCACGAGTCGATCGTGAAATACATGCAATATGTTAAAAGACAATGCTGTGACAATGTTCCACGACCCTCAGTTGAGTGCCGCCAAAGAAGAATAGTCTTCAAAATTTAATCAGTATTATTCAATTAACGGGTGATCAATAGAAAATTAACGCTCTTGGTTCTCATGACAGTATCATACAACTATCAGAGACTACGACGAGAAAAATAAAAGAGTCCTTAAACGCAATTTTACTCCCCGATCTTAAGAAGCTAATCTTCACTTAATTAAAAGAAATAAAATCAATTAAAGCTACAAAACATTGTAAATCGGTGACCCTTTGAGAGCGATTATTATTCCCATGTTGCGTTAATTTTCTGAAGAAAACCGGTTTTGATTATTATCAGTTTTATTGAAACTGTATTTAAAATGCCATTCAGCATTATTTTACCATTTAAAATGAACTGTGTCTTGAACTTTATCAGTTATTTCGATCCTGAAGATAAAATCTAATCAACTGTTGACAGTTTCATAAAAATATGTAACGAATTAACAGTAATGAATAATGACATTTTGCATCCTTTTAATAAATAATGAGTGAATTTATTGATAACTTTTTTGCAAATTTTCAGAAAATTACAACCCAACAAAAAATTAATTATTAAAGTCGTCTGTCTTTGTAAGACAAAGACATGCAATCAAGTTACATTCCTAAATCAGTTAACATAAACTTATCTTAACGTCTTTATGTAATAAATTGATGACTAACATGTTCGCTATATCATATTTCACTGATAATATATGTTTAGTCTTATCTTAAAATTCCGTCTTGATTTAAAATATTTGAAAATATATGAAAAATAAACCCTCGGCTGTCAGGTAAGTTTTATAAATAGCAGACCACGAAAAAAAAATTTATATGAAAAATGAAAAAAAAAAAGATGAAACGATGAAACGAAATGTTGGCGGGAGTGAAAAGAAGCATTAACTCGTAATCTCTGACCTAATACGTTAATTGTTTCGCCAATACCTTTATCAATGTTATGACTTTACCATCAAAGTAATGCACCGGTTTACGACCGGTTTGCGGATGTACATACGATAGGCTGTACAGATAACAAACAAAGAGACCCAAAAATGTAAATAAAGGATGACACGTTTAAAATTAAGAAAACTTTAAACTGAATATTCTAATTTACTGTTGGTTCTAAAAATAAAACTTTTACTTTTTCAGTAAATGAAAGAGAAAATATGGACCGAAAAGATAAAATATTTATAAACAGATTATGATATGCATGTAATTTGTTAATAAATACAACATTAAATATAAAAAGTCGTTGCATCGTCCATTAGCCAAATTGGTAACAGAGTCTTAGAGTTTAACGGTTGACAAAGTTTTAGGACTGTTTATCGTTACTTATTACTTAAAATTTATACATCCTTTGCAACTTATGTCAAGGACTCCAACCAGGACCTGGGCACGACATTTTGCACAGCTCTTAATGAGCTACCTGTTTGCATACTGACAGTTTCTCACTAATTACTAGTTAATTGTCTTCTATTATGACATACATGTGTATGCATATTATATGTTACACAAAGAACATCCAATGTCCTATAAACAAAATAATCAAGTAAACTATTTAAACACATGTTATATTTTTTCTAAAACATTTACACTTATTAAACTTTCGCTCCTTTAGAAAAGAAAAAGAATGAGGAAAAAAGCCACAAACGATACTTAAAGAAATTCCATTCGTACAACCATCTGATCAAGGGCACAAATCTTATTTCTATGTTATGTATGAAAGAATAACACGCAATCAAATCACATTATCTATATTTAGTATTAAGTGCAAAATAAATAATTACATAAAATCCAACAATATTATAGATGATAGCTTTTTCTTTGGTATGATCTAAGATAATTACTTACAGCTTAAATCAAAGAACAAGGGATAATATTTTGATAATGAAAAAAATGCGATGTTAATACAATCTATTTCGAATGAAGCCAGATATAACGAAAATGTTTCAGACTCAACTGTATATTACATATAAAATGAAGTAAATTCTGTAAAACTTCACATATAAAAAAAGATACTTACATATAACAAGAAGCACATAAATCCGAAAAGTTGCTCGAAAATGCTCCATTTTCTTTGACTGTGTTGTATCGTTACTTTTGTTATATCCAAATCATATTTGATAATTATATTTATTTGTTTCTAGCACTTCCAAAAATTTAAGAATAATATTTTTTTCACAACAAAAATATCATATATATGCTCAGTTATTGGTCCCTCTTCTTTTGAAAAATATAACCCACAAATTAAAATATCACAGTAAAATTATCACAAATAATTTCAATATGTTTTCTTTCCTTTTTTTCAATAACAGGTGATCACTATTATGATGTCCAATACCTTTTTTGATAATTAATTGGTCACCTTCAATATGTTATAAATATTTCACTTATAATCTCCTTTACTTTCAATTATGTCCATTCAGTTAATTGGTCCCTTAAAACTCACTAAATTGTCACTGAAAAATATAAAGTCCTTTTGATCCGCTGATGAATGTTCAATAAGTTGGTCCCCTTTAAATATACAATATTTGTTGTAACAAATTTTTGTCCTTTTCTGAACACTGGCATCCAGTGAAGTAATTGGTCCCCTAGTGTAGAATCATCAATATATCACTTGGGTGAGATCCCTTCCCCTTTTCTCTCTCTCTCTCCCTGCCAGGTCACATGTAAATCACAGAGTGAAGACAAAACTGTGATCAACTTACTACCACAGTACAACAGCAACTGTATTTATACAAACTGCGAAAACACAAAATATTCTCACACATTAGTCACCAGAGTGTTACAATGTTACAGTACTTAAATCTCTTAAACCACTTAAAAACAGACCATATAATCTGTGCATTCAATCTTTGAGCTCTTCCTCCATAACGCAAGTACTGTCACTAAATATAACCAACTCCTCATCACTGCCCACCATTATTTTCACTATAAACACTTTTTCGCAAAACTTTCGAAAACTTTTTGTTTTATATTAAAGCAGCATGTAGTGCAAAAAGAAGCCGAAGTTGATCTGCCTCAGTGAGGAGCTTGTCTGTATAAACAGCGATCACAATCTGTGAAACACGAGCTTTTCAGCAACCCCATTCCCACGCTTTTTACTAATCCAAGGTAATATCCAATATCGCGCAATAACTTTTTGTTTTAAAACCCCCCTTTAACAAATCCCGTTTCCTTCTTCTTTAGAATATGCACACTGTTCTTCTCTGCCGTAACAAATCCTTCGCTAATCCCAGACGTTTTCTAATCTAATAACCTTTTATATCCATATACACCTAAACATAGTTTGTAAAATCTGAGCACAGCGACACTAAATTTACCTGTATTTGCTAAAATTTGGAAGAATAATAAAAGGTGTACAGAGAGGTTAAATTTGGGAGATCTGTTTCATACTCCAGTGATTTTGTCATTGTCGGTGTGGATCGTGGATACAGGTAGCTATCTCCAATACATCAATAGCTTTTTTTTCTTCTCCAAAGCCTTGTCATATCACTGACACACAAACAACAAAAAATCCCCACCCCGGGGCATTTTTCGCATTTTCTATATACCTATTATTCTGTATTATCTCTTATTCAGTTATATAAATAAACTTAAATCTTAAAAGTAATACAGGTAAATATAAACAATTAAACATAGGAGACAATTGAGAAAAGTGATGCTATCTAGACAGTGTAGAAATTAAATAAACAAAATAATAACAACATTGGGTTTATCTGATAAAAAGATCAAAATATTAAATCATAAAATAAAAGAGAGTGTAAATGAAATGTCAAGAGTTAAAAATCTGGAGAGTTTCCCCTGTCAAGCTGTGAAGATCCTACCTGTTCAAGGTGTCAACAAAATGATCTTTATCACTCTCTTTTTTATTAAAATTAAAATACCAGTATGCTGAATAACTGTTATCTGTTTTTAATACAAAATATATTTATTAAATTTTATCAAATATCAAACTATGTTGTATGTTAAATTAAATTTCTTCAGAAAATTTGAAATGCAACCAAAAGCATTACAAAATTTTAATACTAGGTTATTTTTTAAATGCATTTACATGAAATGATTTAAAAATTAAAAATATTTAATATTTGTTTTCATTTCAAATGATTTTAGTAACAATATGTAAATAAATTCATTTGTTATATATACCGGTATTAAGACAAGAAAGAAATTAATAGGTAGAGAAAAATGATTAAACTATTTGTGCTAAGGAATCATTAGTCAATTTGCACAATGATTTATGTTCAGTAATCTGCAGGCCCTGCTTCAGATATTGGCTTTTTTACAGGAACAAATGGGGATCAAACTTGCCACCTCCCTTCCATACAAGTAATGGGTGTAAAGCACAAAAACTTTTATAACAAATCTCTTATTTCTAAAAAAAACTTTCATTGGACTATACAATGTTTCAGTATCATATTCTATTCTATTCATCCTCCTAGAAACTGAACACCTTTTGTGGCTTTTTTTTCTCCATTGTTATTTTTCTTTTCTCTTTTTTTTGTGTGCATTTAAATTTGAACCCGAAATGGAGACTTAGTAAAATATGAAGTTTGTAGAAAGTGATATTCTCAAAAACAGTAGCTGTGATTGTTTTATCTACTACAGTATTCGGATATTAATTATTTTGCTGTTTAAATTACTATACAAGAAATATTGCACCCTGGGAAATCACTGGCATCGTGACCTTGAATAAGTTTTGGGCATCACATCCAGAATGACTTTCAAAAAAAGCATTAAGTTATCAGCAGAACTAGCTCATTCAATACCTAAAATGAAGAAATCCAAGCTTTTTTTCCAAGAAATATGATAACAATTAACAATTAAATTCTAGTAAAAGTGTTAAGAGAACAGAATGAAAGTTTATTCCAGACAATAAGTATTGACAAATAAAGATTTATTTGCATCAGGGCAGCTCATAATGAGTCGGGTAAATAATTAAAAGGAGCAAGCCTCCTGATTCATGCTAGTTTTTATGAAAATTTAAAAAATGTATTTTAAAGTAAAATATTGTGAAGTAAACAAAGAAAAAATTTTACAAATTGCAAACAGCGCTTGTAATCCACATAAATTACCAAATTTAAAAGAGGTCTAAATAAGCAAAAATAGCCTTTGCAGTAATGCAGTAACACAGTAATAGAATATGATGATAAATACTGCAAAATCAGTCCTTAATCGCACATAACCTGCAAATTATTACTTGAATCTTAAATCTTTTGACTTTTCTTAAAATCTTAGTACATTTTTCTCAAATATAACTTTCTTGGAAATATTTTTGGCTCATACGGAGACATGCAGCTTTAATGCTAGTCAACATAATTTTCAAAGATGACCTGCAGCAGAATGCTTATCTGGCAACTTTACAACTTTATTAGATAGACAAATCAAATCAACTAACAACAAGTCTTTTTAACTTCACTATGACTCCACCTAGCCACATATTTTGCATAAAAAAACACAGCACAAAAAAAGAACAATGATCCAAGTCATTCCTGCCTTTACAAATTTGGGAGTTAATTAACATGGTAGAAGAGCCAATGTTTGCCTTTCAAGTAGGTTTAGATTACATGTAGGGTAACAGTGAGTTAATGAAAGGCAAGGATACCAAATCAACTAATTACCTTGATAATTATACAGGTATATTGTATACTGTACTGGAATAAGACAATGCCTTGTATAGTCTAAATATTTGATGAGAAGTGGCCGAAAAAACACTTAAAATATTCAGTACTTTCTCTAGAATTACGGTAACTTTAACCTTGTTAGCCCAGAAATATGATTCAGTAATTATATATGATTTCCGTCTATAATTATGTTACCGGCATCTCAAATATACAGTAGAAAATTAACAGAGGGTATAAGTTTGTACCAATGACACCAACGTTTTAATGTATCGCTCTCGAAACCTCAAACTATTGAGTTACATTATACAATGTACCTTCAAATTGTCCTGAAAAACCAAACCTTTTGTATTGATATATCGTGTTTGTTAGCAGATGTTAAAGAAGAACTAGTATACATGCGAAAAATTGAATTTAGATTTTTAATTTTTATTTTTTTTTTTTTTTCCTTGAAAAAAAACCACATCAAATGATTAGGGTGCAAGGGATGTTGCACTTTTAAAATTATCTCTCATAAATAGACTGAGATCAAATTAAGCCCGCAATTTTCGTCTTATTTTATTGTTTTCATTACTTACTAGGGATTTCACCTTTTATAGATTTTATATCATAAAGCAACATAATTAGAACTTAAGTTATTTCTTATTTCTAACTGTAAAAATCTTGTGGTGTAAACCATTATTATTGACTTTTCTACGCCACTGGGATAGTGCCTTCCCAGCCCACACTTCCCATCTGACATTTCCCAGCCCCACACTTCCAAGCCAGTACTTACACCCTGTCTGACGAAACTCTTACAACTGTAGATTGTTCAATAATCATAATCATTTAAATATTGAGATGAACCATTCAAACTTAAAAACGGACAGTTCCAAATTCGAAACAGGGAATTCAATTAAAAGGGTAATTCATAATTGATTATGAAAGTATCTTCAAAACAAAAATATATTCAACTACACTAGCAACAAAATCAAAAAAGTTCCTGTTTTACTTTACACAATTAAAACATACAAATTTATAGGAAATTAAAATAGCCAAACAAAAAAAACAAACAAAAAAACAAAGAAATAATTTTTAAAAAGTTATTAAAGAAATATCTTCTAATGTAAGTAAAACATCTTATTATTGATAAACATAAAGAATTAAAGCAAAGAAATCTTAATATTGATAAACATAAAGAAATAAAGCAAAGAAATCTAATAATTGATAAACAAAATGTAATTGTGTTGAAGTTACTCTATGAAGTAATCAGAGGTTATCACCATTAATTGTCATCTAAATTAGAATAAAGCCTCGCCCATTTGAATTCAAACCCTATAACAATCTGATCTCTATAAATGATCTACCATACCATTTCAACAAAGAATCTGATTTTATAAAATGATACACCATAGTATTTGAATGTAATTTTCTGATTTTCTACAGTGATATACTGTATAATTTCAATGTGTTCAAACTGTTTGAGTTATTCTGTCATAACAAGATGTTTATCTCATGACAGTCTGTAAACTAAAGCCAAAACTCAAGTCAAACCATACTGTATGCAATTCCTTCACATACTGCAGATTGATCACATTAAAAGTTAACAATCTAGAAAAATAAATCAGTTTAAATCAACCCAATGAACCAGTTAGCAATAAAAACTATGAAAAGATTCCTTACAGGTGTGCGCATTAACAAAGAAGAGTTTTAATTGCTGTAAGTTGGTTATGGGGGATGTCAAATTCGGTTGTGAGAGGTGATGTAACTTATCATGAGAGGTGATGTAACTTATCATGAGAGGTGATAAGCCTGTCCATAAGAGGGGATTATCTTATTAAGAGAGGTTATCAGGTCCGACATGACAGATAATAACTTATGAAATTGAAAAATAAGCTTGGGCATTAAATGTTGGGTATTTTAATATGGGGTTTAATAAGCTTAAACACAAGATGTAAATATATCATCATGAGAGGGTATATGCTCAGAAATGAGAGGTGATTATCTAATCATGAGAGGTATAAGAATTAACATGAGAGTAAAAGGAAACAAGGCAGGGCATGAGAGGTAGTCTATAAAATCTTGAGTGGTGACTACCTTATCATTAGAAGTAATAAGCCTAGACAAGAGAGGTGATAATATATTATTATGAGTTGGGATAAGCCCGGACACGAGAGGTGATGCATCTTATCATGAGAGGTGATTATCTAATCATGAGTGGTAATAACCCTGGCATGAGAGGTGGTATGTATGATTATGAGAGGGATGTGTACTATTATAAGAGGAAATAAGCCTGGACATAAGAGGTGATAAAGTCCTCAGTGTTTGCTATATTTAAAATCAAAGCACTGAATGTACTGATGGGGAGGCTATGAGAGAATGTTTCAGACTTATAGTTTCTTTTCTTTTTGCTTAAAATATGCTACCAAAATAAAAAGATATGCACATTGCGCTATTTATCCTTACTGTTGTGTTCAACCATTCATATATATGGTTAATGAGGTTGACTATTCATTTTGTTAATATTCCAGAACATTTAATTAAGGTCTACATTCGGACTGTTAATCATGCAAATTTTGAAAAACCTAAACTGTCAATAATAAATGACATACCAGCAAGTATGACGACTGTTCATTATCAGATAACAATAACATTTTACAACTGACGGTTCCTTATCAAAATATTCTAGGACTGTTCATCATAAATATTTTATG